ACCGTGCTGACGTTCAAATAACTCGCGTTCAGAGTTCTGCGGCAGGGACTGCTGAGACTGCTGGACGTTTGGGGCAAGACCGGCCAGGGCATTGACAATTGGAAGCAGGGCAACTCCCAAGGTTGAGGCGAAGGAGGCAGAAATGGCATTCCGTGTCTGTTGGACGAGGGCGGCTCTGTCATCGGAGGCCAAGTGCGTTCGCGCGTTCGACGACGAGGGGGGAGCGCGTGCACGCACGTGCTGAGAGCGGACGCATGTTCTATGGGCTCCGCAGAAAATCGTCCTTTTTCTTGGAAAATTCCTTTTCTGTGCGGTGAAAAGTGTTGGAGAAGACAGAGCTAACGTTCCGGTTTCGCTCGATACCACTTTCATGCCGGTGAGCCGAATCTTTCTCATTTCAAGGACATTGTCACGATTCTGGCCCACGGAGGGCCTGTTAACACTCGTTAGGCTTCGCGCCGCAGGGCGCGCCGCACCGAGCTTCTCGGAGCGGCCGCCTAGCTAGGCCTATCGCGTGGCGGTCGCCGTCCTGGTGGGGGCTGAAGGCTGGAGGATGGATACAAGGACCCAAGAAACTCCAGGTACCGGTCGAGTGATCGGCTATAACCCAGACGAGGTGGCGCATGGATTTATCAACCCGGCGCAGCGGCCACTCCGGGATAATGGAATCAAGGATGCCACCTTGGGGGACCAGGAGGACGGAGGACCCGGCAACGGCTGGGTGCAAGTACTGATGCAGAAGAAAAAGCGCAAGAGGGAGACACGAGGCCTCGAGAAACAAGTTCGAGATGAAGCCGGGGGAACAACGGCGGAGAATTTCAAGTCGAGGAAAACTCTGAGGTTGCCCAGTCTCAGAGTCTACAAGCACAAGGTCATTATCAAACCTCATCGGGTCGCGGTGGACCTGAAGTGGTACAGGAGCCTGATCGGGGAAGCGGTCCAGAGCTCCCTGCCGAGAGGATTGGACGAGAAGACGGTCGTAAGGCTGCTGGAAGCACAGAACACAATCATGGTTTGTACGGACGAATGGAGCGAAGCGGAAGCCGTCGCAGGTATCAAGAAACTGAATTTTCCTGTCGGCGTGCTAGACGTCGAAGCGTATCATGTCTCCCCGAGCGAAGATGCGTGCCGCGGCGTCATACACGGTGTCCGGCCTGACCTGACTAACGAACAGATTCGACAGAAAACCAGAGCTGTGGGATACGAAGTTCTAGAAGCAAGGAGGCTAGGGAAGTCACAGTCTGCGGTAATCGTATTTGCGGGGAAGAAGGTACCGTTCACGGTGAGCTTCAATTGGCTTGAGACTCCCTGCTTTATCTATAAGAAGACTAGGGCGGCTTGTCTGAACTGTGGTGAAGTGGGCCATCGGACCGACGTATGCAGCAAGCCGGAAGGATTTGCGTGCTCGGCGTGCAGGGCCACTGAGGTCGGTGAGGACCATGAGTGTGTGCCGAAGTGTGCCTTGTGCGGGGGGGCCCACAAGACCTATGACAGACACTGCCCGGAGAAGTTCTACAAGGAGACTAAAAGCAGGGAGCCTAGACGGAGTCGGGGGAGACGTCGCGACGGCGCGCAGCACGTGCGGTGGCTTTCGAGAGAGTCGGGACGGAGCGTGTCAGACTCGCGCACCCGCTCGCGCAGCCGGTCCGCCAGCTGTGGGAGAAGCGCGTCTCGAGATATGACTACATCCAAGCGGCGCCCGCAAAAGGTCAAGCGAAAAAAGAGCAAGCGAAGCACCTCTATGGAAGGGATCTTCACTGATCCAGGCAATCGCAAGAAGTGGCCGGAACTCCAAAGGGTCGGGGATCAGGAGTCGAGGAGCACGTCCCAGCCCAAAGGTGGAGGGGCGAGCAGCAACGGAGCGATACAAGACCTGCGGAGGAACGTGCCCCACTGCAAAAAGACCATAGAGGAACTTTGGAACAAAAGAGAAAGAACCGGGGGAGTCTCGGCAGAGCAAGTACAAGCGATCGTGGAGACGACCGTTCAGCGGGCGATCCAGGGACTTCAAGAATTCTTCACCAGCCAACTGATGCAGCTGACATGCAGGGTCACCGAGCTGGAGAAATTAGGAAAGACTCTTGAGCAAAACCAAGAGAGCCTCTTCAGGCAGTTCGTCTCGAAGCGGAGAAAAAGGGGCGAGCCTCTACGGGACGCAGAAATTTCGGACGCAGAATCATGCGCAAGTCAGAGAAGCCAAGTTTGAAAGTGTGGCAGTGGAACTGCAGGGGGATGGGTCGGAAACAGGCGAGCCTTAGCCTGAGGGTGTCGCTTGATCCCAATCCCCCGCACTCTCAAGAAAAAAGGGTGTCAAAAGGTGCATTCTTACACCCTTTGTCCCATATAATACACCCCAAACTTCAATTCGACATACAGCGCCCTACAGTCGAACAGACGGCCCGAAATTTTAGGAATGGCTTGATAGCCGTGTGGTACAACTTATTAAAATAGCTAATGTACGTTTTACTGAACACGAAAAAAATAATCCGAGTTTTCTTGACCCTACTGTAAAAACTCGGTGTTTTCTCTATGTGGTCTTTGACGCGTACTTTAGCTATTTAAAATGTTGTACCACACGGCTATCAAGCCCTTCGTAAAATTTCGGGCCCCCTGTTCGACTGTAGGGCACTGTACGTCGAATTGAAATTCTGGGGAGTATTATATGGGACAAAGGGTGTAAGAATGCACCTTTTGACACCCTTTTTTCTTGAGAGTGCGGCGGTGATACTGCTGCAGGAGCCGGGCAAGAAACCAGTGAAGATCAAAGACTATGCTACAATTGAGGGCGACCAATACGTCGCGACGCTTGTGCACAAGACCTACGCAGCCACGAGACTAGACTTGGATGGCTGTGAGGTGTCTTGCTGTCACATTGTGATCATCCCAGTGAAAAAAGGGGATCGGGGTGTACATGTGGAGAACGTGTATGGAAATCCAAAGAACCATAAGACGGACTACAGGCGGCTCATCGCGAAGGTGGTCAAGGAGGCGGGGAAGGACCCTGTGATTATTGCGGGAGACTTCAACGCCCCTCACCCGAGATGGGGTTACAAGTACGTTTCTCCGAAAGGCAGAAGGCTGGCGGAAAGCATCAACCAGGAACGCCTAACATTGCTTACCGAGGTTGATCAGCCAACCAGGACGGGCACGAGCTCATGCAGAGACACCTGTCCGGACCTGACGCTTGTCAAGAACGTGGCGAACGCTGAGTGGACTAACCTCATGGAGCAACTCGGTAGCGATCATTGTATCCTCGAAACGACTATTCACGAGTCCGGATACACAAGAAAGACGGGAAAGGCAAGAATAACGGATTGGGACCGATGGCGAAAACAGAGAGGGAAAGGTGCAGCTAGCATCGAGAACATCGAGGATTGGTCTTCGGAGGTGATCGCCAGTGTCAAGCCGTTCGTGGCTGAAGTTGAACTCTCAGAGAAGACCCCAGCAGTGGACACGCGTCTGCTTCATCTTTGGGAAGCACGACGCGGGCTGACCAGGAGATGGAAGAAACAGCGCTACAACAAGAAGCTGAGGAAGAGGATTCAAGCACTCACAAAGCTGGCCGAGGACTATGCGGTGGACTTGGCTAGGAAGAACTGGTATGGCCTGTGTGACTCTATACGGGGAAGCCTAGGCACGGCTTAGGCATGGAGGATGCTTAGGGCCTTAATCGATCCGAGTAGGGCAAAGGCGGTGACGGGCGGCCGTTTAGCGGAACTGATACATAAGTTACCCGGGGACCGCAAGCAGATCATGGATTGGCTGGCGGAAAGGTATTTGTGTTTGGAATCCACAGAAGAAATCGTGGAGTATGAAGGGCAGGAAAACCCTGAATTAGACAGGCCAATTACTGTAGCGGAATTGGAGTATGAGCTCGAGGTTATGAGGAAGGGCGCAGCACCCGGACCGGACTCCCTCACAGCGAAACTCCTCTACAACTTAGGGGAAGGGGACCTGAAAGAGCTGGTACGCCATTTCAACGAACATTTCTGGGAGCGCGGGCTTACTCCAGATAGTTGGAAGGTTGCTGACATTCGCTTCATTCCAAAACCCAAAAAGGAGCTCAAGCTAGAAAATCTGCGGCCGATTTCGCTTACATCTTGCCTGGGCAAGGCGTTCGAACGAGTCATAAACTCCAGGGTTATGAAATATCTAGACAAGGAACAACTCCTTCCGAACACGCAGTTCGGGTTCAGACCTCACACATCGACGCAGGACATACTCTTGTGGATATATAAGGATATACTGGAGAATCCGAGGAGCGGCCAAACGAGATGCCTTCTAGCTTTAGACTTGAAAGGCGCGTTTGATAATGTTTCGCACGAAAGCATACTTAGGGGTCTCAGCACAGTTAACTGCGGGAGAAGAACCTTCGAATATGTCCGCAGTTTCTTGACGGACAGGACAGCCACGTTGACGTTGGGAAGTATGCAATCTGGGACATACAGACTGGGTTCCAGGGGTACGCCGCAAGGGGCAGTACTTTCCCCGTTGCTGTTCAACCTTGCGCTGCGGGTCTACCAGAAGCGCTGAGGGCGGTTCCGAACGTGGAGCATGCCATCTACGCGGATGACATCACCCTGTGGTGCAGTAAGGGCAGTGACGCGGAAATAGAAGAGAAGCTTCAGGCGGCGGCGGATATCGTCGGAGAGTACGTTATGAGATGCGGGCTTAAGTGCGCCCCGGAGAAATCTGAGCTTCTTGTCTTCCGAAACCCTCGCGATAAGCTAGTCGATCACATTGACGTGGTGATAGATGGGGTCCGGGTCCCAAAACCAGCGGAGGTTCGGATTCTTGGCCAGCTTCTACAACAGGGGAGGGGGAACAAGTCGACTATCGACAGACTGGACGCCATGACCACGCAGGTGTGCGGTATGATGAGGCGAATTAGGAACCGTAGACACGGTATAAAGGAGAAAGAGGCAATACGGTTGGTCCAGGCCTTCATTATTGCCAGACTGACGTACGGCACTCTGTACCTGAACTTGAACAAGGCGGAGATGCAAAAGCTAAACGTACTGATAAGGAGAGCGTACAAAAACGCGCTGGGGCTACCAGAGCGTACGGCGACCGAGAAACTGCTTAAACTTGGGGTGCATAACACCATAGAAGAACTTCATGAAGCTCAACTAGTGTCACAGCTGAAGCGACTCTCTTCCACAGTGAATGGAGCGTGGCTTCTGGACAAACTGGGAATGGCAGTACCCGGCGGTTCTCACGGGCCCGGAGACGCGGGGGAAGAGCTGCCGGCTGAGACCCGGCAGAGATTCACGATCAGTAGAATCCCCCGCAACATGCACCCGGATAGGAATGCGGAACGGAGACAAGCGCGAGCGGTGGCCCTAGCGCGTTCCTGGGACAGCAGAGAGGGAACCCTGTACGTGGATGGGGCCGGTCCGGTGCTGGGGGTGGCTGCAATAGCGGTGGCCAATGCGCAAGGGCAGATCAGACGCGTCGCCTCCATACGAGCGCAGACGGTTGAACAAGTGGAGGAGGCGGCCATAGCATTGGCGGCGGTTTGCAATCCTCGTGCGACGATAATTTCGGATTCACAAAGAGCTTGTCAAAACTTTGCGCGAGGGGTCGTGGGTCAACCAGCTCTAAGGCTCCTCCGCAAAACCGCAGTAGAGGGAGTACATCTGATCTGGACCCCCGGCCATATGGGGCAAGTCGGAAACGAGGCGGCGAATGCTGCGGCCCGAGGTGCGTTATACCGGGACTCGGTTCTGCTCCAGAGGGATCTGGACAGTGCGCTCACTTACAGTGAGGCCTTAAAGGCTCTACGAACACATAGGGCAGAATATCCTGGGCCGGCCAAAGGTCTCAGCAAAGAAGAAGAGTTCACGTGGAGACGACTTCAGACGGACACGTTCGTCACACCGATCCAGCTACATCTGTGGTACCCAGAGCGGTACGCCACGGCGGACTGTCCCTTCTGTGGTGAGCCCTGGGTGGGCGTTTATCACGTTGTCTGGGCATGCAAGAACCTCCCAGGACTGGCTCCAGTCGAGGAGCCCAAACTCGAGGAGTGGGAAGCGGGACTCAAGTACGCGACGGCTAGCGAGCAGAGGCTGCTCGTGGCCCGAGCACTCCGAGTTCACTCCGCACTTGGAGCCCCGGAATAGGGGCACACAACCACTCTCTCCTTTTTCTTCCCCTTTCTCCCCTTCCCTTTCCTAAATCTTTCAACTCAATAAAGTTTTTCAACAACAACAACGACGAGGCATCCTTCTCCTTGGCTTTTTCTCTTGTCTTGCTGAGTTGCGTGGCAGTGCCGGCGGCTGCCACTCGGTTCGAAAAAGAGTCTCGGCATGAAAAAAACAAAAAAAAAAACAAACTCGGAAACCCTTCGGACATTTTCTCGTTCCTTCCGCCGCTCTCAGCTCGAGCATGCATATTATATATACAGGGTGTTTCTTTTTATTCTTGCAGATTTGTTTAAAAAAAAAAAGCCATGAAAGCACACTTATGGGGTTTGTGCGAGTGAGTTATACGCCGAGGGTGACGTTATGTGAGTTACTAATCTTTGGGATAAGTCGGCTAATTAATTAAAATTTACTAATTAACTTTTTAATTAGAGAAAATAGACATACGGTTCTAATTAGAAACTTGCTGAGTGCTGTTTAAAACCCCCAAATCAGTCATTTTCAGAAAGACTTTCAGCGCTTGAGAAGGGTAGTAGTGCACTGAAGTTACCACAAGTGGAGCAGGTACGAGGCTAGCGGTTTCGGTAAGGCGCCCGCGCAATTTTTCCGTCTCTTATCTAGCCCCAGCCTTGAACCTTGTCCAGAAGTGGTAACTTTAGCGCACTACTGCGCTTCACACGCGCTCAAAGTCTTTCTAAAAATTACTGGTTTAGGGGTTTTGGACGACGCTCAGCAAGTTTCTAATTGAAACCATATGTCTATTTTCACTAAGTAAAAGTTAATTGATGAATTTTAATTAATTATCTGACTTATCGGAAAGATTAGCAAACTACATAATGCCCCCCTGGGCGTATAACACACTCGCACAAACCGCATAAGTGTAGCTTTCACGGCTTCTTTTAAAACAAATCTGCAAGAACAAAAAGGATTACCCGGTATATATATATCGGTGGTTTTGATAGAACCGAATTGGATGGGCATCTGAGAATTCGAACTTATTAGTTAATACCCTAAAGGCGGCACGTACTGAATACATGTAGCGATGTAGGAGTGTGGCAGATTTAGAAATAGAGACTTTTTTTTTTATTATAAGCACGACGACTGATATAACTAAGTATTCTTAATCCCAAAGTTAGATTGAACGGAAATGTATTACCAGATGCACCACTCGCTGAAAGTAACTGTCAAATCACGGCGACATTTCAAGATGCCTCCTCCAGGTCATACTTGGGAAAAACGAATATTTTTATTTTTCGGTTAATATCGGTTAAAACCGGTTACCGGTAGGTAATTTACGGTTACGGTTACGGTTACGGTTTTTATAAATTTCAAATAACGGTTTCGTTCCGGTTACGGTTACTGAAAAAATTTCGCTCCTAAACGGTTTTCGGTTTCGGTTTCGGTTACGGTTTGAGTTCCTGGTTGTGACCAGTGAATTGGAACTAACTGCAGATCTCTGAACTAAGATTGCCATAGCAATAGATGGTTAGATGATACTCTGACCACCAACCTCCCCCTATGCTACGCATCTATATTCCGATTCACGATAAATTCGCAAACTGTGGACGTCACGGCCCCTCCGACCCAACAAGAGCATCAGAACGAGGCACGTGACATCATGTTACGGGAGCGTGTGTCGCTGCGCCAAATACGAGGCCCGGAGAAACCCGTTGTCGTCTGCTGGCCAAGGGTCATCTGCTGTGAAGCCAACTTTGGGCGTTTCCTCCCAGTTTCTTCCCATAGAGACGCATAGGTTGAGACCTGCATGCTCGTTTGAATTACCTGCAAGTTTGAATTAACGAGATTTGACTGTATATTGCCGATAGAGATGGCATCGCGCTAGTTCAATTGCCATTCAAAGGAAAAGAAGCCTAGAACTACTTTTTGTCATGGACGGCACTGTTGCTGTGGCGGTAACGAGGCCTCTGTGGGCTCAACCATAGAGTGCTTTCACGTGCCTTACTTTGACGCTCTTATTGGGTCGCAGAAGCCGCAGCCTCCACAGTTCGACAATTTATGGTGAAACGAAGTGTAGGGGTGTTAGGAATTACAGAAAAAGAGCAAGTGTGAGGAAATAGAAGATTACACGGGTGTCCTCCACGCTGTCGATGCCTCGAACCCCAGACTGCCCTTCGTCCTCTTCTTGAGGACTGTAGGCCTCTATGAGCAGATCTGCCCAGCAAAAAACAAAAATGGAAGAAATTCAGCGTTGTCATAATCTAAAGAGAAGCGGAAGCATAAAATAATGTTCTAACATTCCTTATACAACAAGTCAAATATTTCTAGAAACTGGTCCCTGCCACTTAAAAAGATTAGAAATAGAACACAGCTTTTGCTTGTGTGCTAGTTTTTCTGTTAAAGCATTTGTACATATACGTATAATGCCCCTAAACTTTTACTTTATCTGAAATAGTAAAAGGCGGTTCCACGAAACGCCTTTTGACTTCTGGTAAGCTGCGTCTTGCCATGTTGATGAACAGCATCTGCCACTTCCCTTTTTGTTTCAAAAAGACGATTAGTTATCGGCATCATTTTCTTTTTGTGATGGTGAAATGCGAACGGGCATGGAAAGCACCATCGCAGACGAAAATTAAAGAAGAGAACACCTTCAAGGGACACTGACATCCCGAAACAAATGTTGTTTATGTTTTGCCAGGCGATCTATTATGGTGCAAGAAGACTACCCAGTCAGCATTTTGCTACAGCGTCACATATATTTTTAATGAATTAAAAAAAACGCGACTGCTCGACACTGAAACCGAAACTGGACTGGGGAGGAAGAAATATAGAGGAGAAAGATACCAGAAATCACTTGGCTGTGCTACTTTTTTTTTCTTAATCAACGTATTTGCAGTTTTTTAGAAGCCACAAAAAATGTGTATCATATTTTTGTCGATTTCTAGTATTAAGTGTGTGCCTTCGATGACCCACGACTTTGATTAGCTTGGGTGGTTGTTTCTAACCATAGAAACCGACATGTGACCATAGAGAAGAGAGTGAGCGCGACTTAAAGAGGCACTGACACATAAAAATCATTTTTTTATTATCCCAAACGATTGAAAACGATGCCGGGAAATTACCCTAAAAATTTGAAATTTGGGAATTCAGTATTTGTGAAATAAAAAAACAATTTCCAAATGCCGACCTCGACGTTCCCGCGCGATCCGCGCCGGTGCGTTGACGTCAAATATTGCAGAGTCCAGAGAGTCCACTTTCTTTCACGACTCCCTGCTGTTGCCATGGCGACCTAAAGCGAGGAGGAAAGGAGCGAGCGGAGCGAGCGCCGGCGGACCGGTTTTGAGCGGTGTCACCTGTTTTCCGTTGGAGGATACAAATCTAGGAGACGGCACCACAACGAACTCCCGATTTTTGGTATTTGAAAAAGAAGGGCCGTAGTGCGTTCGCAATTGCGTTAAAAAACATGTTTTACGGTTGTCGTTATTAAATGTTATAAAAATGTCGCCTACAAAGTTTCTAAATTTCGTGATTCTTGACGTCACGAATCAAAAGAAGCGAGGAGGCTAGAGACGGGAGAATCAAACGCCAAAAATAAAAAGGCGCGCGCGCGCGGGAAGTTTTTTTTTTCGCAATGCGTTTTTTTTTTCTTTTTTTTTTGCATGTCTATGACAGCAACTTGCATCGTTTTAGACAATAAAAAAAAATACGACCTTTGGGGTGTCAGTGCCCCTTTAAACCAACCAGCTCTTAGTCGGCGGCTTTCGGGCGGAAAGAAAAGAAGTTTTGAGCCGCAAATGGACCTTTTTCGCCTTTTTCAGAGTTCGTTGTCGCGACCGTGGCGCACCCTCGTGGAGATAATTCAAAACGTTTGCGGGCTCAGTCCGTCCTTCCGTCAACCCGTCACGCCGCCACTCTGTTCGCTTCCTCGACGCGACTGTTTTGGTTCGTTCGTTGTGGAAAGTTTTTCTCGCTGTTTTCCGGCTGTCGTTCTCTACTAATGGCTGATGACGATCCCGGAGGATCGAGTAAAGCAACCGTCTTCGACACTGCGGACTTTATCCGTCTGTACGCTTTTCAAGACGGATAGACTGCCGATGCTGCATCGGTACCGGTCGTCAGCACAGCGTGCGTCGATCGGTACTTCGCGAAGGACTGCAGGCAACTCCGAAAAGGATGTGCCTTCAAAGAAGAAACCTACGTCAAGAAGGTCATGGTGAATAACTTTGATGCCGACCACACCGTTCACCTTGTAAGGAGCACGTCTGCACCGTCTATGAAGCCGGGACATTACAGGCAACTGATATCGCTTTCCAAGAGCGCCGATATCGTTCAAGCGTATTGCGACTGCGTTGCAGGGTGAGTTTATTTCTTCGGTAAAACCCGTGGCGATGTAATAATGTGTCTTAGGGATTACAAGATGTGTCATTTGTAAGATGTGAGCTCCATAGTCTCCTACTTTCGGCACATTTGTATCGAGATCCGTGTGTGCCAGTCCTTTGATCATATTGTATGCGTGACGCTATAGGTCATATAAAAAAAAAAAAAAAAAAACATTTGTCGTCCTTGTTTTTTTCGTGGTACTTCAGCATGGAACTAAAAAGGGCCAAGCTAAACCATGAATCCACTTATCGAACTAGATGACCTGTTGATATAAAATTCTGTAGTAGGACATTTTTGTATTCAATATTTTAATGAGTTTCAAACGTAAATATAAATTTTGCACGTTGAGCGGAACATGTCAGCACATAGCTGGCCTGCTCTTTACGCTGTGCGACATCCAGAAACCATCAACAACAGATGTCAGGTGCAAATGGATCGCACCTGCACAAGGTGGGTAGTGCGAATCGGGTTTATCCAGAGTTCTTTAACCTAGTGAGTGGGGTGTGGGGCGCTAGGGAGGAGCTGAGGGTGTTTGGATGAATCATTCATGAGAATGAGTGATTTAGTTACTATTGTGAAGCTGTATACCTGCATACGGCAATGTACTTTTCTATGTGTTCCAAAATAGGCTGCATTTGCAAATAGTTCACACCGGCACAAGTAATGTAGGCAAATCAAAAGCATCTACTGAGCGTATCAACCACGCATGTGTGCTCCTAAT